CAAGAAGCGATGGTCGCTGAAATGGTCTCCTCTAGCTTCAATCGCTACTTTAATCATGACATACTCGAGATTAAGGACGATGTGGACATCGATAAGCTCAAAGGGGCCTGGCAGCAGGTTGTTGATGCCAATGCTATCTTTCGAACCTCGTTCATTGAGGTCTCTGACCATAGCTTCCCATCTACCTACGCGCAATTTGTCTATGCTCCTGGGGTACCAATTGACTGGAGAGTGATCAACACGAACGGTAGATCCATTGATACTATATTAAAAGACGAGAAGCAAAAAGCGGCTGCTACCTTTGGCACGAGACAGCCGCTATTCAAGATCCAACTATTAGTCTCGGAAATCTCAGGACGAGAAAGGCGCTTGATCCTTTCAATGCCCCATGCGATGTACGATGGCTGGTCATTAGATCTTCTCAATGAGGATATAGCGACTTGTTACTCTGGTCGACCCCTCAATATCAGAGGATCGTGTGACAAAGCCCTAGGCCACATTCTGAACTCGACTAGTGAACTGGGCTTGCAATTCTGGAGAGGAGCTCTCAGTGGAGCTTGTCTGACTGCATTCCCGAAGCAGATAGATGCGGGAGGTGATTATTCAAAGGTTCATCGCATGGAGAAGGTTCTAGATATTCCTCGCGTAGAAGTCAGTTCTTTTTGCAAAAGCCAGGGTGTCACCCTTCAAAATCTCGGGTTAACCTGCTGGGCGCTCGTTCTCGCTGGCTATTTGGGAAGGCTCGATGTCGTTTTCGGTACTATGTTAGCGGGAAGAGATATCCCAGATGCGAATGCGGAACAAATAATGTTCCCGCTGATGAATTCAGTGGCTGTCCGCATTATCTTGCACGGGAGCCGGGCAGACATGCTAAAATATGCCCAGGAAACAATGGGCCCTATTTCTGAGCATCAGCACATCCCACTTCGAATTGCCAAGCAAGTGTCGGGCTTCGGGGGGAAGAATTTGTTTGATACCATTTTCATTTTTCAGAAGAGACCGCCTCGAGACAGAAGTTTGCAAGAGCCACTATATGAGTCCGTTGGTGGCTTCTCTGATGTTGAGTACCCAGTGTGTGTTGAAATGGAAGCACTTGATAATTCCATAGCGTGGCGAGTTGCTTGTAAGGACACGGTGCTAGGGGAGCCAGATGTATTCAGGCTTCTAGACAGGGTCAACTTTGTATTCGACAACATTATCAGGCAGCCTGATAGTGAGACAATCGACTTCAACGACGATGGCATATCGATCTGCCAATGTCCTGTATTCCAAGAGCAGGATAACGATGAAGACAACAGGCCTCTTGACGATGCTGCGCGAACAGACGTGCCATTTTCTCCGCTAGAAAATGAGATTAGAGCTGTCTTGTCTTCTTTTTCTAGTGTCCCGGCAGAAGAAATTGGCAGAGATACAACGCTTTTCCATATTGGCTTGGACAGTATCAGTGCCATTAAAGTGGCAGCCCTGTTGAAAAAGAAAGGCATCATACTTTCCGTAAGCGATATGCTGAGAGCTGGTACCGTTCCTAACATGGCTCAATTCGCAATGTCAAAGCAAGACGAAGCCCTCATGCAAGACCACGCCAAAATACTAGCGAAGTTATTGGAAGAAGTGGATACGAAAACACTTCTACACTCACATGGGATTAATGCACAGGATATCGAGAAAGTTATTCCCGCCACCTCTGGACAGATATATATGCTGAACGTCTATGAGAATTCTAATAGGCAACTTTTCTATCCCTGCTTCTTCTACCAGGTAGAAAATGTGGCTGTATCAAAGGAAACCATCTCAGCAGCCTGGACGTCTTTAATTAGCGAACTTCCAATCTTGCGCACGCAATTTATAGCAACAGGGGAACGGACTCTGCCCTATATCCAGGTGGTTCATAAGCATGTGGACAACACCATCATATGGCAGCAAGATCTGAAAGCCCAAAACAGTGCTATCATGGAAGCACGACCTGGCCAACGAGTACCAGTGACATTACATGCCTCACAGCAACTAGGTAAAACGATATTGATGCTTCATATCCATCATGCCCTGTACGATGCTGTTAGTCTACCTCGAATGATGAATATGCTTGCAGAACTCTGCGCCAGCCCGAAACACAGAGCCAAACCCCGGATTGCTTCCAAAGTGGACATTTCAGAGCTAGTCATCCACCAGGATATAAACTCCAGCCCACATGAACGACAAAGCTTTTGGACGAACTACCTTGCCCCTTTCGTCAATTCCGAACAGCAAAAACAAAAAGACCCGCCCTCTCCCAAAATCAAGCACTCGATCAACGTAGATATGGTGCAAACCTACCGCCAATCACTTGTGAAAGACATTGACAAACTAGAGAAACTCGGACGGTTGTACGGCGTCAATGTGCAGACCATATTTTTGGCAATTTATGCCAAAATCCACTGGTCAAAAATAAAGAATAGAGTTGATACTGGGAACGCAGACGGCCCCAGCAACCTCATCATCGGCATCTACCTCGCAAACCGCTCCCACTCCCTGGACGGCCTACCCGAACTAATCGCACCTACCCTAAACATAGTTCCCCTGCGCATTGCCCTCCAGCAAGATGCAAATGGCCAACAACAGTCCATCTTTGACCTCGCACGAAGGATCCAGGGGGACCTGCATGAAGTAAGCCGCGTGGAGCATTCGTCCGTGTCCTTGATTAATATTGCGGACTGGACTGGGGTGAAGCTGGATGCCTTTGTGAATTTTATTAAGTTGCCGGATACAATGAACGGAGTTGATGGAGGTGATGGCGGTGGTTCTGCAGAGCTTGCAGCAGAGGAGGTAGTTCGGATTGTTCCGTTGGAAGAAAGGGGGGCAGTTAACGTTGACTCCAACAGCGGTGCTAATACCATACTGAATAATGGCCTTGGAGAAAGATCGGATTCCAACCGAACAGTACCGGAATCAGCCTCGAATGACACATATGCAGATATTTTTATGGTAAGCCCCCCAAAACCCAGGGCAAAATTACCTCGTCGTGAAAAAAAAGACGGGTGTTTCCTATCTATTTTTAGGAGATTTGTCTTTGTTAACCATACATACGCTTTACCGCAGCCCGGGATTGACGTGGAAGCCGCAATACGAGATAACGGGCTCGATGTGGGGATATTTAGCCGCGACGGCCGGATCTGCGAGACTGAAGCTGACTCCATACTTGATGAGCTACGATGCGATATAGTTGATATCATGCTGGTTGAGGAAAAGGGCCATGCGATGGCGAATTAAATTCTGTAAATTCTGGGACAGTTAATTTCCATTATTATTTTCTATGCTATTGTTTTGTATTTACTTTTGATGTTTATTGTTATTATTTGTCTCATATTTTGTTTGGTTGAAAGTACAGTAACTACTAGTTTAGAAAAACATGTTCAGCAAAGAAGTTTCGTTACACTTTGTTATTGGTTCTCTTTGATGATGACAATGATGATGGCGTGCCATGCTCCCCCTATACCAATGTTCAATAGCCACAGCAAAATGCATGCACTGCAAGTAAGGCATTCTTCCAGGTATTCCAGTCAAGACTAAATATAGAAATGCGGGTAAGAACCTTCATCTGTAACCATTCCTGCGTGCTTCAAATGCAGCTAATGTAGGGATCAAATGCACCTACCTGCAAGAGCCCACCAGAAGCCTCTGAATTCCTTCTTTTTTTTTTTTTTTTTCTTTTTCTTCATCAACGCTCTGTATCTTCATCAACGCTCTGTGGAACAGAACAGACAAAGCAACTCCCAGGTGTGTGCGCGCGTGTAAGTTACACATTATTGTCATTGTTTTTGGAATAAAGAGAGGTTAAAAAATATTAAAAAAAAAAAAAAAAAAAAAAAAAAAGGGTGGAAATTTGGAAGAATAGACAAGACAGCTAGCTGCACTGTGAGCACTCATTTCGAGCACTCCAGAAACCCACGCAGAGCCAACTAAGTTACTTTTTTAAGTATTTCCTGCATCAGCTAATAATGTACTGTAGCTGCCATGCTGCAAGTAAGCCAAGCTCAGTGTGTGTTCGGTGCCACGCTATTGCTTCTTCTCCTCTTTGCCCAGGTTTTCGGGATAATTGCCGGAGTGTTCATTGATTGATGGCCTTCTACTCTGTCCGTAGAGCGCAAAGGGTCCATACAATGTTGAAGCTGGCGGAAAGTTGTCGGCACCATGGCGTGGCGTGGTGAGCCGCTGTCTGAGAGGAGACAGAGCCAGGGTGTGCAAAAAAAAAAAAAAAACGACCAATGGAAAAAGGGAGGAGTAGTACTGAAGATATTTTGTCCTCCTATATGGGAATTGCGAAGGATACTAGTGTGTCATGCAGGCCCCATCAGGTGTTTTCTGTATGGAGGATTGAGGTATCAGCGGGCACTTGTTTCCAGATAATTTGTCGATTATTACGACAGCTCTGTGCGAGGATGTGGCGTTGCCAGCAAGCCATAGCATAGGAAGGGATGAAGCCCTTTCATCAGTTATTTATTATTGCTCGAAAAAGGACGAGCACCCACCGGGTATACACCAAACCAATAGAATGCAGCACTAATGCCGGTATTGTTGCATATCGAATTGGTTGGATTGCAGACGGGGGGGTTGGGAGAAGGCCACAGCCAGTTAAGAAAGAGAATTGTCTGGAGGTTGTTCTTGTTTCTTATTTTTCTTATTTCTTGTTTCTTGTTTCTTTCTTTCATTCTTCATTCCTCTAGGCCTTTTCACGTATTATATTTATATAATATAAGGGATATTGTATTCCTGTAACTAACTAACTAGCTAGTTAACTAATCAAAGAAAATTTCTAAAGGTATTTATTTCCCCCCCCTGAACCACTGAACCATAAGAGATACAAAGGCGGTACCTCGCACCCCGCGATCATGGCTATCACTTATCGCGTACCCCTCGAGTATCTGCCATTCCCCAAGGCGCCAACCATGGTTCTTTCCGCTCACTAGTCCGGACTGGGGACTGCCAAGCCGAACGCTAGCCGTTCTGGGACATCAACAACAACGCGCCCTCCCAAATCGCGTGGACGGAAAAAGAAAGAACGAGAAATGAAACAACAGAACAACAGCCTTCATCCATTATTCCATTCCTCTTCTCCCTCCCTCATCCCTCATCCCCTTCGACGACGAACAACTGTCATTTTCTCTCTCTCTCTCTCCCTCTCTCCCTCTCTCTATATTCCAAGTCTAAGCACGGGTAGAGTTTACACAAACCCAACAAGAGAAAGAACAAAAAAAAAAAAAAAAAAAAAAAAAAAAAAGAAGACAGGAAGTGTGTGTCAGGCAACATACATATAACATACATAACATACATCATATACATCCACCCGGGTGAGGCTCCACTCCCACTCCCGCCGCCCCGTGTGTTTCTCGCCGCACACGTCGCTGTCCTCGCCTCCTCGCCTCCTCGCCTCCTCGCGCCTTCGCGCCTTCGCGCCTTCGCTCGCGTTCTGTCTGTCGCTTTTCTTCCTCCGCCCTCGACAAACTCCTTCGCCTCTTATCTCGGGTCTATCCATCACCCATCATCGGCCGTCCGTCATCTGTTCCCTCCTCCCTCTATCTATCCTAGGTTTTCTCCATCGATCGTGTCCTCTGACGTTACTCTCCTTTTTGCGCGCGCGCGTCCCTCTCTATCTTATCTTGCTGTGCTGCGATACGCACGCTCACTGCTGTCCAACCACCCTCTTTGCCTTGGACAACCCTCTCGCACAGCTCCTCACGGTTGGTTCCCTTGCCGCTTGCCATACATATATCTATTACTTGTTTTCTTTGCCCCCACCACTCCCTTCCCTTCTGTTCTGCGCCCGCACTCGTCATTCCGCTCTCACAGACGAGGGAATATTCCACTGAGCGCATGAATGGAGGTGGCAACCGATGCGAATTCCTCGCGTCTGTTGTGAACTATCCTTCCTGTTCCAAAATAAATTTCGACAAAAAAGAAAAGAAGCTGAGACACTTGAAACATTCCCGCCTTGTTCTCTTGTTTCATCGATTAACGTTTCTACGTGATTTTGGGGTTATCATTGGCAAATATAATACACGACAATCTCCTTTCTTCGTCGCTCTTCGCTTTTACCACTAACTACATCGCGACATTTACGCATTCTTTTCACGTCACTTTCCCCTCGGTATTTTTATGCGCTTCTTCGGTCTTTTCCAGATATTAAATCGGTAGCCCGTATCCTCGTCTCTACAGTGAGGCATACTTTTGCCACTTACTCTCTGCGCTCCGCGTTTGCGCACACAAATCATATTGAACCGTATCTTCAGGATTCCTTCACTTTCCCAAACTATATCGGGAGTTTTTAGTCCTAGTCCCCGCTGGTCGCAATGGTCGCTTCATTCTCACCGCACCGTGAAGCGGGAGGGACTCTCCATCTACCGTCGCCAAACGGAATTCATCATGTCAACCCCAGTTCTGCCATCAAGCAGCTGCGGCGCTCTCTCTCCAGATCTCCCTCAAAAAGCAGCGATTTCCGACTCCTCTCGCGACCCCATTCTCCATCCAAGAATACACACTACATTTCCTCGCCACTCTCTCCCTCTCGTCGAGTTTCTCAAGGGAATCTGTTCCTAGTGTCAGCCAGTTCTACATCGTCGCCTTTAGCGGTCCCATATCCACCAAGTGCAAGAATGAACAGACCGGGAATTCGTCGAACGACCAGCTTTCAACCCCCCAGATCTCGTACCACACCGTCGAGCCCCGCGAAACGTGTGCTGCTCGACTCTCGCGATAACGGAAATTCGCTTCCACCACCTCTCGTTGGGGAGAAATCTGATGAACCAGTGCCACCTCTACAAGCTTCGTCTACAGAGATCAGTAGTAGTCCTGAGCTTGGCTCCGGTGACAGCAACCTTAACCAGCCTGCAGATAGCTTGTTTCCGCAGATACCTGCTTCAAGAGTTGAAAAACGACGGAGTGGTACATTTAGGCCCTTCCCTTCAACATCCAGTCCACTGAAGCGGAGCGATGTCATTATGAATCTTGATCAAACTCCACTGCGGAGTCCCTCCGCCAAACGACGAAGTCTGCACGGCGCTAACTTCGGCTCAGACTTCAACTTTTTTGAAGTTGATAACAACATAGGAAGCACACCAGATAAACTACCGAAGCAAACTGAAAATGATACTCCCACTTCGGGCTTCGCCCAAATACCCTCTAACTTTTCGGCGATACCGAAACGCTCATCGTCTCTCAGGAAATCAACTCTCCAGCAACGACAATCGGAGCGGTCCCTGTTTTCTCGTACAAGAGCTGGTACTGAGAATGACGCTGAGCCCCCTCCGAGTAGCCCTATGGTTCTACGGAGTCGACAACCGAAGTCCTTTGATGGCCATCTATTTTTCCCGGCTCTTCATGACGGCTCTTCCTCCAATAATAGTATCTTTTCTAATTCTTCCACCTCCCTTTTCTCCACATCACATACGAACAACAAATCAACTCAGACTCCATACGGTGCTCCTCATCCACTATCTAGAACCATTACCCAGTCTTCGTCTGATTCGAGCCTCGTGGACGATTCACCCACCCATGAACCGATCAACAGGTTTGATAAACCAAGACCCATCCTGAATTTCTCCAGGTCGCTTCCCACTGGTTCGACTAGACCAGTTGGGCCCAGTCAGCTACGTCAGGAGAATTCGGACACATCTACAGAATCCTTCGCTACGCCTGAAAATTATAAACTTGTGAAACCCCTGCCAGCTGCGTTTATGTCCACGGGTCTCATCTCCAAAAAGAATCGTAATATGGATGATGTCCATAACGCATCTATCACTAGCAAAAACATGCCCGACACTCCATGTAAACGGCCACTCAATCTATTTCCAGGTGTGCACAAGCCATTACCCCAGGCGGCAGTCGAAAAGGCGAGCTCGAATCGCTCTTCCTCTGGAACCCTTTGGACCCCTTTCAATCAGCAACAATCTACAGTATCTCCTCCCCCCGGCCCCTTTTCCAAAGGCACGGGTATTTTTGGCAATTCCTATGCGAAGTCAGCCATCTCGCGTCGCAGTAGTTTTGTCAGTGCGGATGGAGACGACATCTCCCAGTCTCAATCACCTTCTGGAAAGAATGATACCCAATCAGCCAACGACTCGGAATTACCACCTACCCCGACAAAGCAAACCTTCTTCCCTAGCGGCAGCCACTTCTCTAAATCGCGGCCCCATCGCCCCTCCCATAGCCAAACACCCTCATTTGACTCGCTCTCTGGCCCCTCTGGACCCTGCTGTAAGTTGCCTTCCACTGAATATTCATCACCCAATATGGATGTGGAGAGTGATAGCGACATGGATGACTCCCCATCTGCCGGTTTGACCCATAACTTAAACCAACGCCCCTTCCCCGTTCCGTCTTCTCTTCCCAGATCACGTCTGTTGCAGAATCTTAATTCTCCGTCTCCGCACCCAAAGATCTCATTTCATACTCTGTCTCCTCTCAAATGTTCTCAGTTCGGAAATGCTAAGTTTAGTGCCAACTTAACAGCAAGCCCTCTTGGAAATAAATCATTAAGACGAGACTCCCCTCATACCCCGCAAGAACACATTTTCCCTCCCGACCCAAGTGGCTTATCTATATCAGCCCAAGGCGACCAACGGTCCAACCCACGAGATGATCCATCGGCGCTACCAGCAACGCCAACTGCACCCCGCGAGTATTTCGCGCAGGTGGGGAAAAGGTCAAGTCTTTCTTTGGGTGGTTACAATGCGCCCGATGTAGATCCAAGCCTCACTTCTCGTTTTGAGAAGGTTGAATTGGTGGGAACTGGTGAATTCTCGCAGGTCTATCGCGTCACTGAACCTCAATCAACGACACCATTTGGATCCCCCTTCCATCAGACCTCCTTCTCACAACCCCCCGAAAAGCCAACTAGAACTACAACGTCTCGCGCTGAACGGGTGTGGGCTGTGAAAAAGTCTAACCAGCCGTGCACGGGTCCAAAGGATCGAGAGCGCAGGAACAATGAGGTTGTTGCCTTGAAAGCTTTGGCTAATTGCGACTATATCATTTCCTACGCCGACAGCTGGGAATACAACAACATCCTATATATCCAAACGGAATTTTGCGAAGAAGGGAGCCTGGACTTGTTCCTGTCGCAGATTGGGCTTAAGGCCAGGCTTGATGACTTTAGAATTTGGAAAATACTGCTTGAGTTGTCGTTGGTAAGCAATACACGAACATTAAAAATATCCTCTGTCTTATAGGTCTATATACTAAGTTATATTCAACAGGGCCTGAAACATGTCCACGATTCTGGATTCATTCACCTAGATTTGAAACCGGCAAATATTTTGATATCCTTTGAAGGTGTCCTCAAGATTGCGGATTTTGGAATGGCGAGCCGTTGGCCTGCTGCAGCAGGTATTGAAGGCGAAGGGGACCGTGAATATATCGGCCCTGAAGTCCTTATGGGACGTTACGACAAGCCTGCTGATATATTTGCCCTGGGTTTGATCATGTTTGAAATCGCGGGGAACGTGGAGCTTCCTGACAACGGCGTATCGTGGCAAAAGCTTCGAAACGGCGACATGAGTGATGTTCCTAGTTTAACATGGAGTCTAGAAACTAGCAAAGTCCTCCGCGATGCCTCAGGCAACCCACTCCCTGACAGTAGTTGCTCATTCGAGCAGCTATGTGCATCGAACTCTGACGAACAACAGCACTTTACCGACTCGCACTGCAGCATTGGGTCCGACACCATCAATTGCAATGGCCATAGTCCATTTGATTCATCTCGAAAACAAGCCTCACCGTACGTACGGAGCGGTGAGCTTGCTGAACCACCTGACTTCATGGTTGATGCCACGAATGAACAAGCGCTGGACACCATCGTTCGGTGGATGATATCCCCCGACCCGGCCGATCGGCCCGTTGCGGATCAAATTATCCAGACGTTTGGTGTACAATGGGCGGAGCGGCGGCGGCGAGCTGGAGCTACCATCTATGAAGGGAACTGGGGTCCTGCGGATGAGGTTCTGGCAGAAGATGCGGAGATGATTGACGTTTGATGTTCTACAGATTAAGCAGCGCCCGCAGGAAAGAAAAAGGAAGGAACATATATTATTAATTAACGACTGGTTTCGAGCATATATTTTTTGTTCTTCATATATATATATATTTCTATGGGGGTTTGCATTTTCTTGTTGTTTTCTTGAGAGGTTATGGGCTGGAGTTGGAATCTGGGTTTGCGATGGGTACGAAACAGTCCCTCCTATTTGGCGTTTGGGCTGGAGAAAAACCTTTTTTTGTGTGGTTGTTTTAACCTACAGGGTTTATTCATTTTCATTTTAATATTTTTTATAACTAATCAGGGAGCTACGTGGCTGCTCACCCTGGGGAACCTACAAGTCATTTGTTTGATGATCATTGGGCGGGAGCCGTTGCCATATGCACATTTTTATTTCGAAGAAGGGAAAGTTTGGGGTTGCAAAGGATAGGGTGAGATGGAGATGGGACTAGAATGTTCAATATGGAAAACGGAAAAGGGATCAAGATCCATTGATTGAATTTGTCTGGCTTTTTTTTTTTTTTTTTTTTTTTTTTTTTTTTTTTTTTTTTCCACTGAAAGGAAGAGAAGAGGGAAATTTAGTTATTTTGCTTTGTTTTTGCTTGTCCTCTTGCATTCTGATACTATATCCAATTGACTGTTGTTATGATCATATTGAGTTCATTTTTGTCATTTTTGTTCTTTTGTGTTCACTCCTATGATATTCCGTATAATTTGATACCTTATTCAGAGGCTTTCGAGGTTTGCTTCTGCCCTGTTGTTGTGAATGATTCTTGATATTCTTTTCTGCGCATGTTTCTCATCATTCAGCTTAGTACGGAGTATGTTGTGCCGCTACTGCTACAGTTGTTCCCTCTCATACCTGTCACTTAGTAAATAAATTCATATATTTATTGTAGGCAGAATGGAAAATTTGTAGCTAGATTTTTACCACAAGGTGCATTTCTTCTGATAGATAGACAATGTAGCTTGGCTTTTGGCTTGTAGCAGAGATATTAAAACTTCACACAACTTTCCTTCCCCAAAATGAAATAATAGATACAGATTGCGTCGAGAAACAGTCAACCTACCTACCCTTACTTCAATCCCAAACGGTTCTCTTCTTTCTCTCCGGAGATTTTATATATCACATGACTAACCTTATTATCAGCCTTGGCATTGGGGCGATCGCAGCTCAAAAGCCAAGCTGGTGATAATTTAATATTTCGCATCCAAAACGCGCGGGTTTTACGAAAAAGAAATTAAAAGCCTCAGAATCAAGTACCAGGAGGATAGCACTCACCTCTTGAGTCTTTTTTTGAGCTCCATATTACCCATACTTCATCCGTTTCAGCGACATCAGCACGCTTTACTGAGTTCTATTGTGCGGAAACACAGTACCGACCTCCTGAATAAATACACTTTAAACGGCCTTCTTCGATCTCTTCTTGTTGCGCTGGACGAAACTGAGGGGACAGACGGACATGCTATAGCACTGAAACCCCAAAAATATCCTATATCCCAATCGCGCGCCGGCATCCGTGGACGGGTCCCCCCGTTCAGCCTTCACGGTCCGCTGTGAATTACGAACTACCTCAACAGCTAGCTGCCATACTATAGTTCCCACCCCCGAAAGGACAGGTGGTGAAGAACGACAATCAGCGCCATGGATATCCGGACATATATATCCGACTCCCTCCTACGGCTAACAGGCGCCTCAGATGCGACGGTCATCGATTACATCCTCGCCACCACGGGCTCCGTCAAATCAGCCGGCTCCCTACAAGAGAAACTGGGACCGTTCCTGGACGGGAATGAGAATGAAATCCATTCGTTCTGCGCTGAGCTATGGAGAAGGGTGCGTGGCAGTTCTGGTGCGGAAGGAGATAGTGGTACAAAGGCTAGCAAGGAACAGCTAGCGGACGGGTTGAAGAAGAGGTATAGATTGGTTGAGATGGAGGAAGACGATATGGATGTTAATGCTGGGTTGGCGCCGTTACAGACTACTGAAGTGGGGAAGAAGTCGAGCAGGAGGGCGAAAGAGAACGGAGATCGCGGAAGGAGTCGGGACGGTGATGACGGTGGTGATGATGAGTCGAGGCACAAGCGTGCGCAGCGTGCGTATCGTGGTGTGCGAGGTGAGCGAAAACGGGAGCGGGAAGGCGATCATGATCGCGAAAGTCGGCATCGGTCCAAGAAGGTCCGCAGAAGGAACGACAGGGATTTTGAAGACCGCTGGGGCGATGAAGAAATACCCGAAGACGAAGGTGAGATGTATGATGAGCAACTACAACAAGAAGAGGCCCAACAAGAAGAAAAAGAACCAACATTACGCTCCCAGTCCCCTCGTTCTTCTTCTCCCTCTTCAGATGGAGATCCAGAGACCAGAGCTGAGCGGGCTAGACAGCGCGACCTCAAGGAGCGCGATGAGTTCGCGAAACGCCTCGCGGAAAAGGGACGATTCGAAGTCAAAGAAAATCGTCGAAGATCGATCGTCCACGAAAGACTCGGATGCAGCCCGGCGTCGCGCGCTGGCTGAAGATGCTGCGGCGAGGTCCGCGGCAATGCCAGACTTGCGGCTTCGCTCGCGGCAGGAATATCTTAAGAAACGCGAAGCGGAGCGACTGGCTCTGCTGCGCAAGCAAGTCGCGGAAGAAACTGCCGAGCTTCGCGAGAATCCAAACTTGACACGTCGGGAAAAAGAGGAGTTTAAGAAAAATAGAGAAGTGCTACGGCTGGCGGAGGAGCGATTGCGGATTGACGATTATCGGGATGGCTATGCGTTGCCTGAAGATTACATTACAGAAAAGGGCAAGATTGATCGGAAGCGGAAAGAAGAAGCGCTTTATAAACGTTATGTTGATCGGGATGAGCATGGACATGAGCGGTTCGTTACTGAACATGAGGAGTGGGAGAATGAGCAGACAGCTAAGGCTAGAGCACAAATTCACAAGGCAGAGTTCGCTGATGAAGGGGATTACGAGTATGTGTTTGACGATGCGCAGAAGATAAATTTCATCATGGATTCGAAGTTAGAAGGGGACCGGAAGCCGTTAACCAAGGAGCAGCTGCTCTTCCAGCAGAAGCTGGATGCGGCAGAACAGAAAGCAACGTCCATTGAGGAGACAAGGAAAAGCTTACCTATCTACCGGTTTAGAGAGGAAATTTTACAAGCGGTGGCTGATCACCAGATTATTATCATCGTTGGAGAAACTGGTAGTGGGAAAACTACTCAAATCCCTCAATATTTACACGAAGCGGGGTATACCAATGGGGGGATGAAGATTGGCTGCACGCAGCCTAGACGAGTTGCAGCGATGAGTGTTGCTGCTCGTGTAGCTGAGGAGATGGGCGTTAAGGTTGGGAATGAAGTTGGATATGCTATCCGGTTCGAGGATGCTACCAGTGACAAGACAGTGCTCAAGTATATGACTGATGGTATGCTGCTACGTGAACTGCTTACGGAGCCTGACCTTGGTGCCTATTCTGCACTGATGATCGACGAAGCCCACGAGAGAACTGTATCCACCGATATCGCATGCGGTCTGTTGAAGGATATTGCAAAGGCAAGGCCTGATCTGAAATTGCTTATTTCATCAGCAACGATTGATGCGCAAAAATTCCAGAAATACTTTGATGATGCGCCCATCTTCAATATCCCTGGGCGAAGATATCCCGTGGACATACACTATACATCACAACCGGAGGCAAATTATCTTGCCGCTGCGATCACTACCGTATTCCACATCCACATAAGCCAGGGGGCTGGCGATATTTTGGTCTTTCTTACGGGTCAAGAGGAAATTGAGGCTGCAGAACAAAGTATACAAGAGACAGCTCGGAAGCTAGGTTCCAAGATACCAGAGCTGATAATATGTCCCATCTACGCGAACTTGCCTTCGGAACTTCAAGCCAAGATCTTTGAACCCACCCCTCCCGGAGCGCGAAAGGTGGTTCTTGCTACCAACATTGCAGAAACCAGTTTGACCATTGACGGAATTGTGTATGTGATTGACCCAGGCTTCGTGAAAGAAAACGTATTCAACCCGCGCACTGGAATGGAGAGCCTTGTTGTTACGCCTTGCTCGCGTGCATCTGCTGGCCAGAGAGCAGGGAGAGCAGGCCGTGTCGGTCCAGGCAAATGTTTTCGGCTATATACAAAATGGGCTTTCTACAATGAGCTAGAGGAAAACACCACTCCAGAAATCCAACGGACAAACCTCAACGGAGTCGTCTTGATGTTAAAATCACTCGGGATCGACCAGCTTCTCGATTTCGATTTCATGGACCCACCACCTGCAGAAACGCTTATCCGTGCTCTCGAGCAGTTATACGCGCTCGGAGCGTTAAATGACCATGGCGATTTGACCAAGGTTGGGAGGCAGATGGCCGAGTTCCCCACCGATCCAATGCTTGCCAAGGCTATTCTAGCAGCCGATAAGTATGGATGTGTCGAGGAGGTGCTTTCGATAATCGCCATGCTAGGCGAAGCCAGCTCTCTATTCTTCCGACCCAAAGACAAAAAGATCCATGCCGACAGTGCTCGCGCGCGTTTCACCATTAAAGACGGCGGTGATCACTTCTCACTCCTAAACGTGTGGAACCAATGGGTCGACTCCGACTTCAGCTACGTCTGGGCGCGCGAGAACTTCCTACAACAACGAAGCTTAACGCGTGCCCGTGACGTGCGCGATCAGCTCGCCAAGCTCTGTGATCGGGTTGAGGTAACTATTACCTCTGCGGGGGCCAATGATCTAGTCCCCATCCAAAAGGCTATCACGGCCGGGTTCTTCCCGAACGCGGCGCGTCTACAACGTGGCGGTGATTCATACCGGACGGTCAAGAATGGACAGACTGTGTACCTACACCCGTCCAGCACGCTGTTCGAGGTGAACCCGAAGTGGGTAATATATTACGAGCTGGTCCTGACGAGCAAGGAGTATATGCGTAGTAATATGCCACTGCAACCCGAGTGGCTAGTGGAGGTGGCCCCGCATTATCATAAGAAGAAGGATTTGGAGACGTTGGGGATTGATAAAAAAGTACCGAAGGGGCAGGGGGCGGCGGGGGAGAAGAGTAAGGTGTGAAGATGCAGATTATCATGATGGCGATGGCCGACAACGAAGATAATGCATTTTGGATAACCATTTAGTCGAAGAAATGTATATGTATTCTAGATATATCCACCGCCGTAGACCCCCTTATTCCAGTAGCTTACAGCCAATCATCACATGGAAGTTTCGGCTGACAAAGGAGCCGAGTTCGCCATCTGGACGCCATGTCCAAATAGGCCTAGCTTTCCCGGCGTCCTCGTGCGGGCCAAATCTACCTCGGCTCTCACAGCGCACAGGCGACAAAGCAACGACCGAGATACGTCGGTTCGATTGGCTTACAGTTGAACGTGGTGCCAAAGAAGTTGATCATGGTGCCAATTCTTTATGCACTTTAGTGCTCCGTCTAAAATCCCCCACCCACTACTCCGTACACGCCTACTAATTCCAGTCTAACTGTTTTTCAATCTCTCACTCAATCCTTGTTTATCTTAGTGTAGAGGTGTATATTAGAGAATTAGAATTAGAATAAATAGGAAAGAGCTAGCTAGAGCCTTTGAAAAATATGAAAAATCAATATTATGAGAGGTGTAGGGATGATCTGCTGGATATGTCTAGTCCAAATTGAAATTGGGTTCAAACCACGCCAAACTGTTTTTCCGGCCCGAGTTGGCACCACGATCAACTTCTTTGGCACCACGTCCAACTGTAAGCCCCTCCTGGACCTGGCCATATGTAAACCCCAAAATTCGCCATTGCCAGTCTTATAAAGATAACCGCAAGCGCCCCAGGCGATTCCACTCTTGATCCGTACCAATATCTCAACCCCTAGAAGTTGTGAATAGCTCCCATCCATCCCGCTCCCGCTGTCCCTCTAAGCTCGAACAACCCCCCTGTCACTCTCCATCTTCTGCAGCAATAACCACTGACTGCAAGGAGAGAGCTTATCTACGTGCCTCTTTTTTGAAAATAAAAATAAAAATCTCCGAACCCCGAATCCACACCAATACAATGTCGAAATCATTCACAGCTGCTGAGGTCGCTCAGCACAACAAGGCCGAGAACGGCATGTATATCATCATCGACTCAGACGTCTACGACATCACCGATTTCCTAGACGAGCATCCCGGCGGCTCGAAGATTCTGAAGCGCGTTGCGGGCAAGGATGCTTCGAAGCAGTTCTGGAAGGTTCGTTAGGGGAAATATCTCCATAATCTATCTATAGTTGTTACCTTATAATCCATGCATTGTGCTGCTTCTTATATGCATAAAAAATTACCATCTTTGCTAACTTCTGCGCCTATCATCAAAAAACAGTATCACAACGCGGGCGTCCTGACGAAGTACGGCGGCAAGCTGAAGATTGGCGAAGTCAAGGAGGCTGCGAAGCTATAAAATGGATATAGACACGTTATTTTCTTTTCGCTCTCTCCCAAAATCCTTTCCCATCGGCCGCCTATTAGTGACATCATATGTATAAATCTGGATACCGAATTCAATTCAAAACCTAACATCTCTTTTCCTCGTTTCCAGCTCTGTCTTTTTCCATGTTCGTTTTTCTCATTGCGAATTCTCCTACAGATTTTTTTCTTTTTTAAGAAACATATACAAGCCAGCTCGATGGCAGTGGTGGGGTTCCGGGGATGGTTCTCTACCTGGGACTGTTTTCGTGAGCGGAAAATTCAAAAAGAAGACGAGAGAAGGATAGAATATGTTTATTTGTATTTTAAAAAATTCTCGGGACATCCTTTTTTGTTTCACTAGGTTACATCTCTCCTTACCTTTCTTCGGCCTTTTACATACGTTCAATCTAGACCTCTTTTTATCTGTTTGCGCCTTATATGGGTTCTCGTTCTCACCTGTTGTCTTTGCTTCTTAAAAATGTCTTGAAGGTTTCAGACCAGATTACTTTTGTGGCCGGGTCACAAACCCTATACAAGCCCGTACGGTGGAGTTTCCGGATGGTGGTGATGAAAAATGGGGAGGAGGCGGAGGTGGGAACAATTGAAGGCGGAGAAGTAGTCAGGGGCGGGGCGGGGCGGGGCGGGATGGGATGTCCCTCACTGATCTTCGTTGATGCTGGATTGATATTATTCTCAGCTCCGTCAAATTAGTTTTCTTTCCATACATCTCCGGTTTGGATCGTTTAAAAAAGTGACCCAAATTGCTCGTTCAAAAAGCCAATCCCTATTACAGTTAGTAGTACTACTACTTCAAGAGAGACACATCGAATGAAGAGAAGTGTCTGTTTTCCCCCTTCCGCCCTTCTCTTCATGTTTGATATTCTCTTCTTCAGCTTGTGACTGGATATGTATGACTCAAGAAATAATAGAAGCGCCGGCGGAATTGCGAACCCCGGGGGTGTCGGAGACCTGAACCAGCGCGCGGGGAGCAGAACGGGCTAGATATACGAGTAGCCTGGCTCCGCTGTTAAGCTGGCTAAATTATTGGCTATATAATCAGGCAATCAGGCAACCCTCCGCTATCTTCGTTTCAGCGCTGTGAAGGGCGGACGGATTTCAGGATTCTCAATGGATATTCAATGATACAGCCTGGCTGAGTTCAGTAGCTTCATATCAATAGGTAGGAGGAGGTATTATTTAGGCCTCCGACAAACAAGGTGGCTGCTACAAACGCTTGGAAACCACCGTGCATAACGCTCTTAAAAGCTGTCAATGAGAGCGAGCATGAAAATTTCGCGAATTTCTCGAATCGACTCTTCTCGACTCCTCTCGCCAACCATTATACAAGTCCAAAATCGCCCCATCCATACGTACCCTCCTCAAAGATCTCAATCAGAAAAGCAATGGAGTCACAACAACAACCACTCAAAGCTGGCCCATCCAACTACGCCATCCGAGCTCAACACACCCCAACGACCATCACAATCTACCATGCATACTCACCGTCAATCGCCAACGCAGCAGTGGCCGCCGGGAAATTTGTGGCCCCCTTCAAGCGCGGGCGCATGACCTGGATCAAGCCCTCATTCCTCTGGATGGCCTACCGCTACGGCTGGGCGACAAAGAAAGACCAGAAGCGGGTGCTGGCTCTAGAAGTCACACGCGAAGGGTTCCATTGGGCACTGGCGCATGCGTGCCCCAGCCACCCGTCTCCGCACCTGTACGCGGACCAGGCGACGTGGGAGAAGCGCAAGGAGGAGAGCCCCGTGCGCGTGCAGTGGGATCCTGAGAGGGATTTCGAGTTCCGCGCGCTTGAGTATCGGTCGCTGCAGGTTGGGTTGAAAGGGGAGGCGGTGGATCGTATGTGGATGAGTGGATTGTGGGGATCAGGGATGTTACGGGGCTGATGCGGGAGGTGGGGAGGTTGGCAGGCGAGGGGAGACTGGATGAGGCGAGGGAAATGATGCCGGTGGAGGAGGAGTATGTTTTACCGGCGGATGTGGCAAGGGTTATTGGTGCGGATGAAAGGGGGGGGGGAAGGCTGGGGGGGGGGAGATATGAGGGATAGGATATCAGGCCAAAGGGGATAGAATAGATCTGAATTGAGCAGAAGCATTGCATATTCTCTCCTTGTGAAGAAATTATTGAAAACCTTGGATCTATCTGTAGTCTGCCCGTACATGTATGCTATGTACATGTACAGTACATGTCCCTTTGTATCAACCAAACAAAAAATGTAGCTGTTGTCCGCACTAAACCGGTTCCTGCATGAATTCCGCAGCGCTAGTATATAAATTGATATGTTGAACAAGAAAATCAATACGAAGAGTAGTTAATCAGACAATCAATCAATCAATGAATGAAATATCCTTGCTTGCTGCAATTGGAATCCTGTTCTGTTCTCTTTTGCTCAGTCCAGTTCCCTGCTTTGTTAGTTAACTAGTTACTTATTAGTTATAACTAACTACTCCGTACTGCTTGCATGCAATTTATGATGGTGGTGGGATTAATTGAAATTCCATGCAACAAATAAAAGCCAATAAATAAGAAATAACGCAACACAAATAGGATGTACTGTACAATAACTAATCTAAATCAGGAGTCAGGCATATCGAAATGAAACACATACATTAAATAAATGAAAACAGATGCCCAGTCCAACCCCCAACTTCCGCTCTTTTTTACCAGTCCCCAATATCAGTCCGCCATCTATCTAATAGATTACACCAAACCCAGCAGCTATCGACCACCTTTCCAAAGATCTGCTCTTAAGGGGGTATATGTATATAGCTACAAGAAGACGAACCAACTACGAGCCGAGCTTGTGTCACTTGAGCGAACAGAATATATAATATCAATATATCTATCTATCTATCCACACACGGCACTGCGCCTCCTTGTACTGTGCGACCGGCTCCCTGCACAACTAGTTTCGCTCTGAACGGGTAGTAGTAGATGATGGTGATGATGGTGATGATGGCGATGATCGAAACTCTGACAAACGGAATCGAAAGGCGGCTGGTCTGGCTGGCTGCGTGCTGGGCCGAACCAGCCGTATGCCGTGTGCTGTATGCTGTATGCCGTGTGATGTATGCTTTCTGTTCTTGTCCTGTCGTACACGAGCACAAGGGGATATTGAAATATTGAAATATTTTTTGCTACGGTGAGTTTTAAGATGATGATGATGACAAACGCCGAAGGAAACTTTTATCTACTAAACTAACTGACGGAAGAACTTAAAACGGGGGGGAAGGTGGGGTGTGTTCCCTCTTCTTTCTCTAAAGTATCAGGATTTTCTTTCATAAATTTTGTTTTGTTTTTGTTTCCTTTTTTTATCCATCCAACTTTCTATCTGAATGAACCTCGACCTTTTTCATGCTCGATGAAGGTCAGAGATGTATGCGGAGGGAGAAGGACGCAGTGGGACAGAGCCAGAGTCACCTATTATCTATCCTATTACCTCCCCCCTCCCCCCCCCCCACCTACCGCCCCTCTTGCCTTGGTCGTTTAATCCAAACAGAAAAGCAAAAGCGGAATCAATCAATCAATTTACTTCGATCGATCTCCGAGTTCCAGAGTTTCACAAGGAACCCGTTCGTTTATGCTGGCTGGTGTGGGTTGTTGATCGTGGATCGATCGAGCGATCGAACGGATGAATCAGAACAACGATACCAATGCAACAAGGACGAAGAAAGGAAAAGAAAAAAGAAAAGAAAGGCGTCACCATATCACGAAGGAGTCACGCACGCGAAGATATAATAAACTCGATCGCTTAGGGAAGCTATCTATATATGTATTCCCCCGATTCCTGAACCATATTCCTCTTCTCTTGGGGCCCTTCACATAGAGCAGAGGAGAAGGCGAAACAAGACATCCGTTCCTCCTCGAAACAAATACATCAAAAGTGGGAACAAAAAATATGAAGATCAGATATGAATGAGGTCGATCAGTCAAAAAGCCCACCGGCGTCAATTTCCGCTGCGTACGTATATTAACAGGGGGGGAGGTTTACAAGAAAATACCAACAAAAATATACTATAATAACAAGATCGGAAAGGAAAACGCAAGGAAGATATATATATATATCCATGGACGCCGCTGGTTGAAGAAAAAAAAAAGAAAAAGAAAACTGCAAGGAAGAGTGAATAAAGAGAGGGCGAAGAGCTCAGGAATGAATGAAAATGAAAACATAACACCGCTGATATCCCCTGCCGAAGAGGATGAACCTAAATAAGTACGAGGGAAATGAAAGGCGGGAAGCTCAACACGGGAAACAAAAATACATTAAAAAAAAAAAAAAAAAAAAAAAAAAAAAAAAAAAAAAAAAAAACCAGAAACAAGAAACTGGGGTTGCCAGTGGTCCGCTTTGTTTCCAAACAACTATTTGTACAGTGGTATCGTATCAATTGATGGCCCTTCTTCTATATCGAAGTCCTGCTTACCTTCTTCCGCATCATACATAGTTGCCCATCCTTCTCTTTCAACGAGGAGGAAAAAAGAGAAAAGGAGCAAAAGAACTTCAAAACGCATGTAAAATAAATTTACACACGCCCCTTGATTCATATCAAGGACGAGACCAGACTACTACCCTACTCTCTTTGGGCTCGAGGGCTCGAGGGCTAACAAAAACCGTTCTAGAACCCTCGAAAAGGATCCTCATTTCGAAAGAGCACATCCCCGTCTTCGGAACCATAAAACTCCGTGTCCGGGCTATTTGGGGGCCAGTAATGCGCATCCCGTCTCCTTCGACCACCACCGCCGCCGCCTTGCCTTGATCTATGTCCATGCCCACCAACTCGTTGGCGTGGGAATTCATTTCGATCCACGAAAGCTTCCATCCGCACTGTACCAACTGCTTCGAAGAAATTGCTCATGCCAACGCTAGATGGGCCGCTGGCTTCTGAGGTGCGATGACTAAAACTGCTTTGGCCGCTCTGCACGCCCGATGGCCCCATGGTTGAGGGAGAGTAGAGATCCGATGAGCACGCGGTTGTGGTGCTGTATGTGGACGGGGCGGTGGTGTGGTTGGAGAAGCTTTTAAATGCACTTGGAGGGAGGCGCGGTGCTGTGTTGCTTCGCTTGCGCGAGTGTGAGGAGAATCTTGGGACATTTGGGGGATCGGCGACGTCGTTGATAGGTTCGCCTTGTTGAGCTTCATCAAAAGGTAGCTCAGGGACGGCGGACGGGTGGGATGCAAATGAACGGTTGGAACTTGCTGGGGTGGGTCTTGCTTTACCCTTTGCGACGCGGATTGAGTCGCGGATTGGATTGCGCCTTAGTGTACTACCTGGGGGAGGGCGATACTCTTCGTGTGGGACCGGTGGCAAGGACGCAAGGTCGTTGGCACCCATCGACGAGTGGCTTAGGAATGACAAAGCGGTTAACCAGACGAAATGGCGTTCGATTGTCATGGCTGTGAACTTCAGTGCTCGTTGCGGGGTGAGTATCAAAATCGACCGGTTGAAATGGTTACTAGGACTAGAGCCCTTGGGTAACGGATTATCATCCTTGACGTCAAGGACAGATTGGATCGTTACTTTACGGAGAGTGCTAGTTAGCCAAACGAAAATACTTCTTTTTCTCCAAAGGAGTATACAGGCCATTTAGCTCCTGGGCGGGATAAATACTCACACTTTCGGCCACTCTTGCCTAGCAACGCAGATCCGCTGGTGGGCTGTTTACTGCTCCACATGACTGCACGCTCATACGGTGCTAGCCATACCCATCTCTTATGCCTGACGCCATTCCCAGTGATATTTGCGGAGACCTCTTCGGTGCTTTTACCCAGCTCCCATCCCTCCTTACTATTATCGGTCATACCGAAAGACTTCCGTCTTCGAACATACTTCCACATCCATTCTCCTACCATGGTCTGTGCGATCGCATCGACCACACTAGTCTGCTGTATACCCGTGTTGGTATTGTTTGACTCGTCTCTTCGATGGGATCTGGGAGGGGGTGGAATTTGTCGATTTGAGCGCGGTTTACCAGAACGTTTACTGCGAGGGGCTGTGATTTCGTCGACGGGCATGGGTGGTAGGTGTGGGCTTTCCGGGCAGGTTGATGTTGTCGACATTGTTGGTGGTGAATGGCTTTGCTGCCGATCATGATATTGCGTCCTAGACACTACAGCGGCCGAGCGTACTTTACGAAGTGGAGGATCTCTTGATCTAAAGCCCCGCTCTAGGTAATTTCCGTTGCTGTATGGCGTGGGGCTCTGAGCGCCCTCACTTGCGCTGGTAGGGATCTTGCGCGAACTCAACCTCACGGGAACGGGGAAGGGAGGTTTGGTTGCGGTACTAGTGGAAGCGGCGCTGCTGCCGATACTGGGCGCACTGGGGCTGCGAGGCCTGAATGCCTGATGTGCGGCGGTAGAGCTAGAGATCATGGCAGTGCGACGAATATCTGGTTGCTTCGCGACGTTGCCCAATTTCAAGGGTCTGGGCGGTCGTTTGGCAGTTGAGGATTTCCCAGATGCCACAGCACGCTGCTGAGGACCGTTGTGAGCTCTTAGTTCGGATACTGATTTCGGCGAATACTGCTCCTCATTTGTGTCTGGGTGTTCCTCACGCTCCGCTAGAGGGTTGTCGTCCAGTATTGAGGGTGAGGGCTTGGTAACCAGCTTACCAGCCCTCAGCGTGTAAGATGCCAGGGGTCGATTAAACAGCTCGTCATCGCTAAACAGGTCCCCTTGTGGCACTGGCCATTCATCGTCACTGATGTGCTCAAATCCAGCAAATAAGCTGCTGTTTCTGAACGGCCGTCGAAGCTCTGGCTTTACATCGTCAGAAAGGGGGCCATTGTCATTATTCCCGGGATATGCTTGCAGTGTTTGCAGTTTCTCAGGCTCTTTATCGTTCGAGGACGGCCTTGATAGCGGTGCAGGCTCGACTGGCGGTGGTTTCCGAAGCTTCCTTTTTGCGGATTTTGGAGGGACGTGGAATGCCTGGATGGGGGGTGGTGATGGTAGATCTATGTATTCTGGGCTTATCCGTGGGTCTATAATCGCGGATGGGAGTAGTTTGGCGGGGAGTTTGGCACTGCGTTTATCGACGCGGATTTCTTCTGTTTGCATGCCACATGACCGTACATCGACTAGTGGTTCGATGTTTGTCTGGCATGATATACTCTTAGTTTGCGGTGGCAAGACGACACTGTTCCTGCCGGACTGTGGGTTTGAGCCAGGGGGTTCGATCGTGATCATAGGGATTGGCATTGCCTGTCGGATAAGTTGTTCTAGGTTTTGGGTTTCTTTGTCCTTGATAATTACATCATCGGTTTGAGTTGAGATGGAAGCTGTTGTAACAGCAGGAGTTGCAATAAAGGGAGCTGGGGAGGCTAACGGGGTGGACTCCTCTGATGAAATTTCGTCCAACTTAGGAGTCCATGGAGGACTTGGCAGCTCTCCGGTTGTCTGGCACGCAGAAGAGGTAGTGAGGAGAGGCACGGTGACGGTGCTACTGTCCTTTGTTTCGTATATGGGTGTTGTTTCCGTACTAGAGGATGTGTGCTTCCTTTCTAGGTCTGCACAGTTCGGGCAATTCACCAGAGGAGCCTCGTCGACGATAACTTCATCCGGTTCAGGGACGATCTTAGGGGATGGAGGTGGGGTATACTGGATTCCAACGTCTCTGTATTCGAACTGTGGTACAGCCGGGGTTGCCTTTGCATCCTCCTCGATGTCTGGAATTACATCCAGATTCTTTGGATGATCAAGTACATCGGGAGTGCCGAACCTTTCATGTCCGTCAAGCGAAAAATCCAACGTATGTCGGGCCATCATGCTGCTCATCGGCCGTGATTGCATCGACATGGGCCTTTCGTGATCGGGAACCGTGCATCTTGAATCTGGTCGGTGGTCGTCTAGGCCCAATGTGTCTTCGTCTTCCTCATCAAAGGCAAGTTCGTCTGCTAGGTTCAAGCCATCGACCTTGGGTCCATGACCGTTGGCCAGACTCATAACGGAGTACCGAAGATTATGCAGATCACCATCATGAGTACTTACGCTCGCAGTGCTCGTGCGTCGCCGTCCCAGGACACTGCTCGAGCGGACACTGTTAGTATCGCTGGCCCTGGCCGTCGTGCCATCCCGAACAAAATCGTCGAAGTCTCCATCGACGCTACGAGGAAAAGAGCCAGCTGCCTGAGCGGCTGCAACTTCATTGAGGACAACCTTCAGCCGTCCCTCCACAACATGGACTTTACGCTCCAAGTTTCTCCGCTCTTCTTCCCAATTCTGCTTATCACGCTCCCATAGCCTTTGCGTCCGTTCAATCTCATCCTCCTGCGTACGCGCTCTCTTCTGCGACTGCTCAAGCCTTTTCCGGAAATCTGCAATGTTCTCCAAGGCGTCGTCACGCTCCTTGGACAATTCTGTCATGGCAGACAGGGAACCGCCCTCAAGAAGCTGTAACTGCTTTTTCAGCGAACGGTTCTCCTTGGAGCTCTTTGCGAGCGTCTCACTTAAAGTCTCTGTTTCCGCCTTTGCATTTTCCAGAGTCATCTCAAGCGAATCGATTGCCCTTGTTTTCGCCTCCATGTCTCGCCGCAGGACAAGATCTCAGAAACGAGCGACGCATGTAGGGTTGGAGTGAAGCGCCGCGGGTCTAGGGGCGAAATGGTCTCATCATTTGCGATATCGATAAGGGTGATTGGGCCATCGGATTCGTACCGGTTGCCGGAGTTGAAGCGCGGAGGGGAGGAGGAAGGGCCTGGAGAAGAATCTCTGCGGTGAAGCGATGGACGGCGCGACATTGGGTTCGAGGGGGTCCTGTAGGGCTTCTTATCCTTACCCACGGGTAGGGAGCTTCCCAGGTATGCATAGTCATTTTCAAAGTCAGAAGGCATTGTGGATGTAGGTGGGTATGGACGTTTCCTTTAGTTCCAGTTGCCGCTGTCATGCATGCATGGCTATGCGGGGAAGACGGCGCGATCAGCAAATGAGAATTAAAAAAAAAAAAAAAAAAAAAAGAGGGGGGAGAGCTGTCAGTGCGAGATTGGGTGGAATGGAGACCAGAAAAAGGGAATTGTTCTAATGGGGGGAAAATAAAACGCAAGGCACTCGTTGTGTTCAGGGGTTGGTGTGAAGAAGTGGGGTGAGTGAGAGATTTGAAGGTAGGAGACAATTCGTAATATCAGGCAAGACCCTCAGTCCAAAGCTCAACGCTCAACGGTCAGCCAGTTTTGAGAGAATCGAGGTAGGTTGGCAGGTTGGTAGGTAGGTCAAAGTCCCCGTTTTCCCCCATGCACTTTGTTTCTCTTTATAGCATTTACACTTTGCAGCGGTAAGTCATGTGCATGAATGAATCTATAACACAGCAACGGCAGGAGTTGGTTGTTGGTGGTGGTGGCGGAAAGGAAAACGGTCCGATCCAAAAAGGCATTTAAGGGAAATAAAAGAGAACAAAAGGAGGGAACAAAAGGCGGAATGAACGACGAAATCGAGGGTTTTATACGCGCGATTCAGAAAGAAAGATTGCTCTTTATCGAAAGAGTGTCTTTTCCCGTTTATATGCTTCGCAGAAGGATTGTCCGATGTGTTGTTGTGTTGTTGTGTTGTTGTTGATCTTCGAGAGGGAATGAAGGAGTGAATAGAAGGAGTATAGTATAGCTATCTCGCTCGAGGTTCTACCTAAAGCTATACATATACAGATGACGTTAGCTGGGATGGGAAGTAACAGAACAGTGTCCCTATGGTACTGCGTCGATACGCATATCATTGTATATTATTATTGGATTCTTGACGAACGTACGAGAGAAGTAGATACAGAGCCGCGTGGAGGATTCGATGGTGAATTGTAGGTCAAGGTCCGGCCATTGAGGTAGGTATGTATGTATAAAATGATCTCGAATCCTTTTATTCTTTTATATATTTATTTCTTATTAAAACAAACGAGCGTTTTCAATTGTGGGTGGGTCATCGACAGACAAGGTGATGTCGCGAGGGCGAGCCGGAGAGAGAAGGCGTCTCTTTTCTTCTGCTTTTGGTTCTCGTTCTCGTTTTCGATTCCTCTTTGAGAGAAATTAAAAATTAAATTAAAAAAAAAAAAAAGCAAAGCAAAGCAAAGCACAGCGAAATAAAAAAAATAAAATAAAATAACTTGTAGGAGCAGTCGTAGCAGTCGGTAGTGGTCGTAGTGGTTTGGTGGTGGTGGTGGTGGTGGTGGTGGTGGTGCTGTAGCTAGGGAGGACAAAAGGAGGGACGACGGAGTTGGTTGGAGCTTGTCAGGTGGAGGAGGAGTTGGAGATGGGCAGCTGCATGGCGGTTGGCAATTGGCGGGTGGAGGAAGGCCAGAGGACAGACAGTGGATTGTGAATTATGGCTGTCGCGCTCACTGTCGGGAAGAAGAAATAGTATTACTCCGTAGAAGAGGAGGAAGAAAGGAATGCTCAGAAAGATGAGAAGAGTGTCAGATGTCAGGATGTTGACTGTCCTGTCCCGAGTGACAGACAGAGGCGACGGCAGCAGAAAACACAGACAGAGGCAGGCGAGAGAGAGGGTGGTGCCCTGCACATTGCATTGCATTTGCATTTGCATTTGCATTGCATGAGATAGATCGGGCGTGCATAAGGGGCGAGACTAAGGAATACGGGGGGGGGGGGGCCCTTGGTTTACGTTAAGGGCAGAAGAACAACTTCAGCTAGCTAGCTGGACATGTACTCCGTATGTTCCAGTTGACTTCAACTGCAAGTACTTCCTCATACATTTACGCTGTACTCACTCAGTCTCGTTCGTTTAACCGTCGTCTATGACCATTTACTACTACCTACGTCTGTACATGTACTGTACATACATACCTATTATTCTACTCACCGCTGGAGGGTGTTGGTGGTGTATATATATATATATGTATGTATATATACCTCCTATGTGTACTCCGTACTCCGTAGTTAGGTAAACAACAACCCGCTCCCGTTTCAAGCTTCTCCAGAACGCGGCTCGGGAAGCCGCGCCGTACCAAACAAAGTAAAGGAAAAGAACCCCAAAAAACAAAACAATAAAATAAGGGGGGAGGGGGACGAAACTAATTAAGGTTTCCCCGTCCAGTCCAGTGCAATCCACTCCTTTTTCTTTTTTTTTTTTTTTCCTTCGAAGCTTTTTTTCCTAACACTGCTTGCTAACAGGAACGGGGGCATTATTTAATATTGGCATGGGCCATGATCGTTCTGATGGCTCCAAGCAAGTCAGTCAGTCTGTTATTAGTACTCCGTAGTACAGAGTAGAGTAGCTGTTGTTGCCGGCGTTCCCCAGCCGGCCCGGGAGGAGCATGGTTGTCTGAAACACATCGTGGTGGAAGTCTTGGGTCAAAAGTACTCCGTAGTTTTGCTATATTATGAATGAAAATCGGATGCTCTCTATCCCCTAATCCACATTACGACCCAAGCTCTGTTTCTATGGAAAGGAAGTGCAGGAACTTCGCCTAATTACTGACTGACCTACGCTTGCGTATGATACAGATTCCATGGCGGCGAAGTGGATAGTTATATGTCGGCGTCCGTGTGTTGGAAACTATTCTTACTCCTTTTTTTTATTATTTTTTTTATTATTTTTTGTTGAAATCCGAATACCTATCTGTATCCCTTTTTGCCTCGTCTGACCAATTGGCAGCCCAGGAATGGAGCCGGGTGAGTGGTTGGACTGCGGGGCTAGCTGGGAAGTGTCCTGTATGGTACGGCTGCGTACATACATAGATGGCGTTGTAAGACGGGGGCCACTAGAAGCATGGTCGCATAGATAGCTAGAGCGAGTTGAAACTCAGGGGTAAAAAAAAGTCAATTGATGCCCTCGCGTTGTAACTTATGGGAAGATGATGCGGAAAGCGAAATAATCGTGATACACAGGAAATAACAGATGGGTTTTAGCAGGTTATCCTGAATGATATTGAGTGCTACTGCTCGCTACTGCTAGCTGTTGCTTCGCCGTTGGTGAGAGTTATCAGAATCTGACTTTACTTTGCCAGTGTGAAACTGAGTCAAGACAATAAAATTGTCTTTTCTTTTCTTTTCGCTTTTCTTTCTTTCTTTCTTTCTTTTTTCCTTCCTATCTGAGCAATCATCTTCAATAATCAACCAACCTGAACTAGGCAAGGCCATTCTCAAAAAAAGGAAAGAGAAAGAAAGAGAAAAAGAAAACTGAATGTTCTGCAATTGATGAATGGCTCTTATTTTTCTTTTCTTATTTTTCTTTTTTTCTTTTTCTTTTTCTTTTTCTTCTTTTCTTCTTTTCCTTTTGGCTTTCAAATTTTCATTAGAAGAGCTAATAAAAAAAAAGTCTCCTGTCTATGAGGCTTTCAGGATGGAGGAGTTTCCTACCTTATCAGTTCCCTCTCTCTCTCTTGATATATATATATATGTATGTATCAGACAAGGATCCCACCACCCAATAATACCGAGTCTCTCCGTGCTGCGTATGTCGGCAGAAATATCATGAATCTAGCAAAATGATAATTCACAGCAACAAGTGACAGACCAGACAGCCTCCAGGCCGCCAAGATGAACATGTTTCAGATTGAGTTGACAGGCACAGGGATCCATCCATCCATCTGTATCACAATTGACTGGCCGGCCACAAAAACTACCAAGTACTGGGCGGATGTAGTTACGGAGAAACTATTGCCATGTTATGTTTGTGGGTTATGGACAACCCCTTTGTAGATCTCGTTGTTTATCCTTGAAAATCCCCTCCGCCACCTCCTCCCCTGCCCTCTCCATTATTCCATCGCCTAGACCACCATACCATACATACCCAGGAGGAAGTACTCTACATACGCATAGTCTTGGAAAAAGAAGAAGAAGAAGAAGAAGAAGAACAAGAAGAGCCTCTCTCAGACCTGCACCTACGAAACCCATGTTACTACTATCAATCTCTACCAAACTTACTACTTAATACTACTCTGTGTACGCACAAAGTTTCGGGAACAACTGGTTGCTAGAAGTTAATAATAATACAGCGTAATATTATTTCCCAGTACCCAGGCCGCCCCTTGCGCTCGCTCCGGTCCAACTGCTGATCACTGGCCCACCAGCTTCCCTTCAGTCCCTTCCCCAGTACTCCGTAATCAGTAATCGACGATGCTAGTACGGATTACGGGGCTGTGAAAAGCGAATGATCATAAACAACAACCTTTGGTGACGGTGGGTGGATTCATGATCAATTAATAGTATTCGATTTGCGTGGTTTATCTTTTTGATAACTACAGCGTACATGTACATGTGCATACATACATACCAGGCGTTCGTTTCACAGTATCTCCATGCTCGCGGTTGATCCGTACAGTAGGATATATATATATATATGTGTATACGCTGTATACTCCATATCTCAAAACCTCCCACACATCTCGCTCTCCCATCCTACCAGTTCCCTAGTGCTCTTCCAGGATAAGAGTTCATGAATGTGATTGTGATGAGCTTGTGACGGAACCCCTCCTTCGGCCAGGGTAGCGAGCGTTTTCGCTATTATCCTTCCCCCCAGGGCGCTGCAAGGGATACAAGCTACAGGAACAACACATCCATGCAAAGGTCTCTCACACCCTGAGGCCGGGATGGAGTACTACACAGTATGTATGTACTCCAGCAGCATCACATCAACTTCAGCATCAGCTTCACTGATATGAGCGAGAGATATCGGTTTAAATAACCGAGAAACTTATTATTTGCGGAGCGAAGCGAAGCAAATATATGATGAAAACCCTGGTCATTAAAAGTGGAGAATTTCCTTTTTGAGGTTCTTGGCGTGAATACAGCCCACTGATTGGTGTAGAATTAAGTGAAGTGCAATCCCGTGACATTGCACTACCATACCATCTACTCCATACAGATCCTTGAATAGATTCTATAACACATCTGATCAACAATCTACTCTGTACAGACCCTTGAATAGATAATGCATCTGATCAACCACCTTTCATAGATTCTCAAGAATGAATAATACATCAAAAGCCT